TTCCAGTTGCCATACCGCACTAGTTTCAGTGAACCAGGAGAGCATTTAAGAGTAGTTTTGGCCGGACGTAGAAATGCGGAAGCTAGGCGGTCAAGCGAGCGCATTTCTGCATAAGCAAAATTTTTTATGGTGAAGGAACAGCTAAACGGTAATTCAAACTTGCTGTACCTTGGGTGATCAGTGTTGATCGAAAGTTTGTAGTTAGATATTTCAGCGCCAAAAATTAGATTTAATGATGTTGTTGTTGTGACAAGGCTTACAAACTTCGCATTACTAGGGTAAAGAGTAGTTTTGATAGTGTGGCATCGCCTCATTGGTTCCCTCCACAAAGCAAGATGGTAGTTGACTTAAGTAGATCGAATACACGGAATGATTCTTTTGTTAACATTATGTTCCAGTCGGTGTAACTTGCCTGTTTAGCAGAGAGATGAAACTATGGACAAAACCTTCATAAACTGCTGCTCTGCGATTTTAATGCAACTTTTGACTACCATGGTAGACAGATCGATGGTAACACGACTGGATCAAGAACACTCACAAACTCTGCCATTGAAAAATATACCAACTGTAGAAAATTTGTTGAACCGCAGCGATATGAACTGCCAGTGAATCAAAATGTCTTTAATGTTCAAATCGTCATCTCCAATCAGTAACTAGACTACCAAGTGGAACGTTCGAAATTTCTATTTTCAAATTACCTGAAACCGCAAAGGAGTATGGATATGACAATTTTGATTTCTGGACCAGGCTAACACAATCATCATTATCAATCTTCTACTTGTTCCTCTAATTCCGGCACAGATATTGCAGTAGAACTGATCAGGATACGGTCATGATCCAGTTTGATAGGATGTGTATTCCCAATCTGAGCATTTCATTAGAAAATAAGCGTCTGCGGGCCATTAATTGATATCTTATTCATGAATGTTTGGCAGAGCCATGGCTGTGACGTTCATTGTAACGGGGCCTCAGATGAATGCTATTGTTTTGTTACATCACCTTTAGCTGCTTTCTCAAGCTGCGGGTTGCTTAAAATTCATGATGACTGTTCATTTCAACGTATCTAATTTTATTATTAAAAAAGGGTGATGAAAACTGGGGGAGCCATTGACTATGAAAGGCAAACCTTTTTGTCATTAACGGAGGGGTCGACGGTCAGAATCTCCAGTCCTTAATATGACGTCCTCGAAACTGAACTGAATTGCTTGCATACAATTAATTTAGTTATATGCTTATGGAAATTGAAGTTGTAAAGTTTTGTCGATACCATACTATGCTGTTTTTGTCCGTCATCGTCTTCATCGTGTGTTTGCTGTGGAATTTAAACGATAATGACACAAGAAAATGACAAGGATATAACCATAGCAGTCATTTCATATTCATAATTCATTTGCTGTTTTTTGTAGGCTTTTGATTTTCCCATAATGGAGGAGCGGATGCCGGGCAAAGAGCCTGATCGCGTGAAACTTACGTTGACGGATGCTCTTCAAGCGAACCACATCAAACTGCTCAAAGTAGGAATATTATTTTAATACTTTATTTCCTCACGGATATAAATGAATGATCAGTACTTGGCGTTCTGCGACCTCCTTGACAAAGTGAAACATTCTGTGATTGCCAAACGTAAAATATTTTC